AGTGGCGTGCTGCTACTGCTGCTACTGATGCTACTGCTGCTGCTGTGCCTACTACTACTGCTATTGCTGCCTGCTGCTAGCCTTGGCTGCCTTGGTGTGCTGCTGCCTGCTGCTGCTCCCTGCTTGCTGCTGCTTGCTGCTGCTGCTGGTGATGGTGGTGGTGCGGCTGCTGTTGCTGTGCTGCTGCTGTTACCTAACTGCTGCTTGCTGCTGCTGCTTTACTGCCTTGCTCTACTGCTGTTGCGTGCTACTACTACTACTACTGCTGCTGCTGCTTGCTTCTTTTTCTTTATCCTCTCTCTCTCTCTCTCAATCTATCTTATTTTCGATTCATATCCCTCTTGTTTCGTTTCTATACCTCTCTTCTTCTCTCTTCTCTCTCTCTCTCTCTCTCTCATACTAACCCTCCCCCTCTGTCACCTCTGTCTATACAGCTAACCTTTCCCCCCTCACGCTCCTCTCCCTCTCTTACCGAGCTCTCTCTCTCTCTCCTGCAGGACTAACGCGTTGCTGGGAGGTGTTATGTCGTGACACGGGCCCCGGCCGTTCTTCTCACGTGTCTGTGGAGGTGGGCGCTGCAGCAACCCGGCCGCGTTAGCGGCTGCCCGCGGCACGTTCGTGCTGGGCCACGTTCGACCGCCGCCGGCAGCATGCGAGGACCAGCTACACATCATAGGCAACAACATGGAGCTACTGGTGAGAGAGGGCCGGAGGAGCGGGAGAGGGGCAGGGGGAGTGGGAGGAGGGGGAGGGGAGGGGGAGAAGGGGGGGGGAGGGGAGAGTGGACGACAGCCATGGAGGAACCAGCTTGCACATCAAGGCAACAACATGGGAGCTACTGGTGAGGAGAGGGGCAGGAGGGAGGGGAGAGGGCAGGAGGAAGGGAGAGGAGGTGGAGGGGAGAGGGAGGGGAAGACAGCATGGAGGACCAGCTACACATCATAGCAACAACATGGAGCTACTGGTGAGAAGAGAGGCGGGCAGGAAGGGAGAGGCGGCGGAGGAGGGGAGGGGGAGGGAGAGGGGAGGGGGCAGGGCGGGCAGGGGAAAGGGAGGAGGGGGAGACAGCTCATGGAGGACCAGCTACACATCATACGGCGAAACAACATTGGCAGGCTACTGGTTGAGAGAGGGGCACACCACCACCACCACTACTACCAGCAGCACCAGCACACCTGTGCCAACCAGCAGGTGTGAATTACCTGTCATAATAGTCTGATCCTTCCTCCAGTCCAGGAAATATGCCCAGCAGCAGGCCTGGTAGGCTTGGTCGCAACGCTTGTCCTATGTGGCAAAACAACACACAAGGCGAATGTAACACATGTACAGTAGTGTGCGTAATACATAGACATAGACATAGACACAGTACTGATAGTAGTGCACACAGACGTGCACATGTGTTCGAATGCACACATGCACACCCAATATGTAAACGTGCACACGTGCTTGAACACACACACGCGCACGCACGCACGCACGCACGCACGCACGCACGCACACAAACACATACCTACGCTTTATGCAGCAACTTCACTCGTCCCTCACTAAACCCGACCATATTCACCTCACCTCCACCACACCCAAAAAAAATTTCTCATTCCAATCATGCGCAACTATCTTCATCCCTTCACCATACTTAAACATCCTTATTTCCAAACCCCTACCCCGCTATACGCAAATCTATTTACTCTCCACTCTCACCCTTTATCCTGTTTCTACCACTTCCGTCCCACAGGAAACTAGAAAACTGCAGCCGGGGGTTGGTGCTAGAACGATTGCGAACGCCTGATAATCGTTAGCGCTATTATAAAATCCACTGATCATCTGGTGCTAAACTGTCCAGTGACGAGGATCCCGGGAGGGGATATGTCACCATATGTACCCATGTGGCGAACCCTTTTGCAACTGGATTGCCCGTGGGGCTGTGGAGGTGTGATGTTGATGCTATACGATACTACTACTATCAAACGCAGAAAAAGTTAGGACTAAGACCCATAATACGACAAACGCGTCTTCGACAATGGCTCCTGGCTTTTTAACCGAGTAGTCCTCCCCCTCCTCTCCCTTAACTCTCTTTCTAATGTCTCTACCCATCTGGAACCTCCTCTGCTCCATTAACTCTCTTTCTAATGTCTCTACCCATTTGGAATCTAGAATCTAGATAGATGCGGCTGATTTCTTTACCTAGAGGTACAAAGTGAGCTTCGTAAATGTTGAGCAGGGCTGGCCTCACGTTAATGGCTGCATGACCAAGCAGGGGGAACAGTCCTGCACTGTATATGAACAGATCCTGAGCCAATCTGTAAACAACAACAACAACAACACGTCAACAAATGTCAACAACAACAACAACAACACCAACACCAACAACATGTCGGCAAATGTCAACAACATTCACTAAGACACTAACCCTTACTCCAGTCATACCTACTCTAACCGCGCATACCTACCTGATCGCTGCTAATCAAACAGTGACCAATCACGTCCTCGCAAATCATCGCAGAGGGCGCCAGGTTGTGCACCTGCTGTAGCAGCTCCACCGCCCTCTGGTGGCAAATTTGATTGCTGCTATCTAGCGCCTCCCACAAATTTTCGGCGACGATCTGAAGGTAACCATGACGACGAGTGACCGTAACGATGCGCGTAACCATGACGTGCGTAACCGCGACGATGTGTGTAACCATGACGACGCATATAACCTTGGCCCTGAACCTTTGATGCTATTATTGTCTCATTACCTCATTATCGTTAGACTTTTGAACAGTTTGCCTCAAGTACCTCTCCCCTGTGGCACCCCTTGTGAGTATTCAGCCCCCATCTTACATAGTTCCCCTTGTATAAGTTCCTTTTCATCTCCCGCAAAATGTACCTTGTAGAAATCTGTTTTGCTGTCGATATAACCTAGGTGGCACTCCGATAGTATTGGAACAATGAGCACCGTCACCGTGTCAGGACTGCCTCCATGGGGAGCCAGTGGTCGCCGGACGGCCAAGTGCTGGTCGTGGATGGAGCGACAGAGGCTGTGGGGAGACAGACGATTAGAGCGCTCGTTAACATTTCAGGTCGGACAAATGTACGAATTTGGGCCAGTGAAAATTCTATTCCACCTACCTGAAAATGAATCGGCTTGCCCATAATAAACTGCTGTATTTCAGCATTAAACTGTACTACCGTATCATGAGGCGGAGTCTGTAAACACATGAACATACTACCCAGCGTGGCTTTCAAACACTTTTCGATTTTTAAATTTTTCATTAACCCGACGGGCCCTATAAACATTTGAGCCGTCAATGCTGCCGTTACCACGGCAATGCAGTGAGATTGCATGGGTTCCAAACACTTCGAAATTTCTGATTAAACCACCAATGGACCATAAAAACGTTGGATGCTGGAGTTACCACGGCAACGCGATGAGATTGCGCTCCGTACCTAATGAGCTCCAGTAGCGTGCTGATTGCGCAGCTCTGCAGCGGGAAATGGTCGACAAAACAACTGAACACCAGCAGCACCTGCAGCCAGGAAGGCAGCGACGCTGCTGCCATCTCTAGGACAAAATAGATCAAATAGGTATTATAAGAATGATTATAAACGATTCTAACATCAGATGATAAAATGATGAAAAAATTCCTTTCCCCTTGATATATCACCTTTCTTTCTCCCTCCCCTCTCCTTCCCACCCCCCTCTCTCTCTCTCTCTCTCTCCCTCTTTCTCTCGCTCTCCCCACCTCTCTCTCGCTCTCCTCCCTCTCTCCACTCCTCTCTCTCCTCCCTCCTCACCGTTCTGTAGATCTGCTCTGGGAAGCAGCACGTGTTGGCGGCAGTACATACTTTCTTTCTGTCTCTCTCCCCCATCTCTCTCCTCTCCCCACCTCTCTCTCGCTCTCCTCCCTCTCTCCACTCCTCTCTCTCCTCCCTCCTCACCGTTCTGTAGATCTGCTCTAGGAAGCAGAACGTGTTCCCGGCAGTACATCGGAAAGCAGGAGAATTCCAGGAGCAGCTGACAAGCGAGCGCGAACACTCCCGACATTCCCCGCTGCCGCTCCGTCATCCACACGTACTCCTCCTCCTCCTCCTCCTCCTCGTCCTCCTCCGCCGCCGCCGCTGCCGCCCTTCCTCTCCCGCGCGCCTCCACCATCGTTATCGACGTCGCGAGGATGTCGGGCCCCACCAGGAGGCGCTGCACGGCGAAGGTCGTGAAGAATTCGAGGTAGGTGTCGACGCAAGCGCGCATCAGCGTGCGTGGCGCGTCTGCCACGTCGCCCGTTGCCACGGCGACGCCGCCGGACGGAGTTCGCTTGACGGACGCCGGTTTCTCTCCCGGCCACGCGAGGGCGCCACCCTCGTTTTGCGTGGAAACCAGGCAATTTGGCATAGGAGAGTTGGTGATGGCGGTCGTCATGGTGACGGAAGCTGAGCTGTCGCAGACGGTTTTCCAGCCGACGTTCGGTGCTCCTCTCGAATCCAAGTCCAGCTCATCGTCGTCGCGGATACCGTCGCCATGGATACCGTTAGTTACCACGTCGCCGTGGATACTGTTCGTCGCATCGTCGCCGTGGATACGGCCATGTTTGTCGTTGACGTTGACACCATTCGTCGTGTCGTCACTACGGATACGGTCTTTGTCATCACCGCGGAAACCGTTGGCCTTGTCGCCATGGATACCGTCTGCCTGCGCAGCTGCTGTATCATCGCAGCTCGCATACTCACTGTCGGACTCGCCCGTCCGCTGCGCCGTCGTCCTACCACCAGGTGGCGCCTCCGCCGACTCGCTGCGGCGATACTGTTTGGCGGGCGTAGAAAGCTTCTCGTCGCTGACAAGAGATGGCGCCACCTTGGCGAGGATCTTCGAGCAGAGGCGGAGGCAGGCGGTGAGCTCGCGTTCGGTGAACGCGCCGCATCGCGTCGTCACGACGACGGTGACTCGCCGCAGCAGCGCCGGCAGGTGCCACGTCTGTGTCTCCGCGTACGTCTCCTGTAACCATGGCAACGCGCGGCGTCAACAACTGTACGCTGCTGCCACCTGTGCGGCCGCAGGGGGGAATCTTAGAGTGCCGAATGAAGATTTCAGGCACAAATATTAATTTTGTAATTGGCAATAATCTAGGGTACGGATACAAGATTCATAAACTACATATGTGTGTCTATCTCTCTACATATGCTCTACCCTCAGAAACACTAGGATTTTGACATCAATCTACATTTATCGCACGCGCTCTCACTTGATAACCGTTCTTAGAAAATGTTCACCTTGCCATATCCAATTTGCCTAAAATTATTATTAACCATAAAGTTTAAGGGTTGAACAAACATAAACACTTGTACTACAAAACACTAAACTTACTTTCAATATAAATATATAAAAAATTCACTTAGACTTGCTGAAGACTCAGACTCAAATTTAATATAATTAAAAATATTATTACTGATACTATAATTATATTTACTGTTTATATATACTACTATATTATAATGACTATTAATATAATTTAGTACATTTACTTTATATATCCATAGATATTCATAGATATATATATATTAAGATATATTAAGTAACTTAGTTACATGTACTAATATTAAATTGGTATAATTAAACACCGCATTAATGCTCCTGCGCCCCGCCAGCACTCACTCACCAGCGTGTAAACATCGAGTAGGAAGTCCACCAATGCACACAGCTCCTCCACCGTTGCCACGGCGATGCCGCGACCCCCCGCGACCTCCGGCCGACCCCCGGAGACCTCGCCCGCGTCCTCTGGCCGCGCGGTCGCCTCGAACGCTCGCGCGACGTACTCCCACACAAAGCTCGGCTCCAGACTCCCAAACAACAGGTTCGCCGTCTTGGCGACCTCGTCGTCGCGCCGGTGGCGCCCCCCGGTGGCGTGGCGGCGCACGTAGCGCACGACGTCGAGGAGAACGTCGTCCAAGATGGCGGATCCGATCTCGGGCCGGTCGAGCAGTGCGATGAGGACGCGGAGCGGGCGCGCGGACGCCGCCGGCGCCCCCTCGTGGCGGGCGAGCGCGCGCCGCACCCCGCAGACAAGCAGCTCGCGAGAGAACGCGTCGAAATAGAGGGCGCCGGCGTCGCTCGCGTCGCTCATCTGGCGGCGAATCGGCGTCGTGGCGCCGCCGTCGCCGAAGTTAACGGGATGACCTGCGGGGGGAGAGCGTGACCTTAGCGGATGACGTTCAAGGTCAAAGGTTCAGCATTAATGTCCACACAACCACGGCCGTATTTAGTAATCAATAGTAAACATCCTGAATAGAACCCCAGCATCTTCACCTTTAGCTTACTGTCGCATTGTATCACAGGTTAGCTACGCTCATAGGGTCTATGTCCCCCAGGGTACTGCCGGAACGTACCCTGGTAACTATCTGATATGGTTAGGGTTAGGGTTATTGTTAGGGTTAGGGTCAGAATTAGGGAGTAGGCGACTCCCTAGACTCGTTAGTGGAGTAGGCGAGGTACGGTCCGGCATATTAGATAGTACCAGCAGAGCATATAAATCACGTTGATTTATATGCTCTGGTACCAGGGTACGTTCCAGTATACCGGACCGTACCCAGGGTACGTTCCGGCAGTACCCTGGGGGACATAGACCCTCTCAGCGTTAGCTACACTATAGGTGTAGCCTCCTCGCTCTCGCTACCCCCTGTAACGTACACCAAGGTACCTAAGGTAGAGCTAAGATACACTAGTGCATTTTGCCAATCGACAGAATAAGATGAGACATGAGTGTAGGGTTCTCCAAGCTTTTTCGTTATAGCATAGCATTTTTCGTGGTGCTGCCTTTACGGTCCTAGTTCCAAAAAATCGCCGAAGGCGGTTTGCGTGCTAGGGGGGTCCGGGGCTATGATATTTAGCATGGCGGCTATGATATTTAGAGTGGCGAGTGCATTTTAGGATGGCGGGGCTCGACGATAGCCTGGCGGGCCGCCAGGCAATAAGTGCTCTTGGAGAACCCTGGAGTGTAAAACTAGGTGGGATACAATATTAGGTTATATTACATTATTATTATAAGGTCTTAAATAGCCACTCACCCATATATGAACAATTGTCACCATATCACCATATATCCATACATCCATATCACCATAATATGAACAATTGCCTTTTCCTACGACCGTATGAAACATTTATTTTTCAAATTCCGACCCCGTTACACGACCTTCGCGGCCACGGCGCACGCGACCGGCGCACGACAAGAGAGCGTCACTCACCGGTGGAGTCGACGCCAAGCATCCACGTGTAGAGGCGGCGATTGAGCGACATGTCGCGCCGCAGCAGCACGTACATGGCAGCACTGATGATGCGCACGACGTCGTCTCTCACCAGGTGGCTGCTGTGTAGCGGGAACGCGAGCACGAGAAAGTCGAGGAGCAGTCGCTGAACGAGTATGTTCGCGTCCTGGAGCGCGTCGCATATCGATCTCGTCTGCGAACGATGTGCGCACACACCGTGAACACACCGGCAACGTGCGAACACACGGTGAACATCACGAACACATAAAGATGAGATGGGGTGACCAGAGAACGACGTGAACACACCGTGAACACGCCAGTAAACGTGCGAACACACGGTGAACAACACAAACGCATAGAGATGAGATGGGGTGACCATCGTTCCCTCCCCCTGCCCACCTCCTCCAGCCTGCTCCTGCTGTCTTCCCCTCCCCCTCCCCCTCTCCCTGCCA